AGGTAGGATAAGTTTCACTTTCAAGAGCAAGATTAAATATCTTGCATAAGAAAGATGGGAAGATAGTGTTTGCATTGGCTTTTAAAATGCTTACTGGGACACCATCAGGGCCTGGACTATAAGATTGACGAAAACGCCGAATCGCGACAGTCACATCCCACAGAGTGAAAGTTATAGTTTCTAGAACTGCCCCGGTCAATGACTGGATGGTCGGAAGCGGAGTGGTCGAGTCTTCAATAAACGTTTTGGACAGGAAATCATTGAAGCTATCCGCGGTTAACTGGGCATCAACTATGGGATTTCCGAGATCGTCTCGAAGGATGGGATACTGCGTCTTTCTCTGAGTTCGTATTTTTCTAGAGAAAAGTTTCGAGACATTTAACGAATGGTTTTCGGTAAAGTGGACCTCTTCGGCTAGCTGTTTTTCTTCAGACAATCTCTTAGCTCGATCAAAAATATCACAAATCAAGGGCAGAACAGAAACATCGTTCTGAAGATGGAAACGACGATGAAGCCTGCGCAATCTGCGACGAAAGGGTAAAGGTAGGAAAATCTCATCCCCAACATTAATAATTTTCTTACGGGGGACAAAACGAGAAATAAGCGGACCCAAAATTTCGTACAGTTTTGCAGTGCAAACATTTACATCCGAACTAAGGAAGAACTCAGTCCAGTCGTAGGAATTAAGGTGTGTTAATAATTCGGTTGAGCGAGTTGATCGGAAATCGCGGAAAAAGTTATACTTTTGGGACGACATTTCGTCAGCCTCGAATTCCAACGTTGAAACAACTATGTCATGGTCTGAGCCCCCGAGTGGGCCTAGGGATGACACTGACGATGGCAAGCAGCCTCTACAGAAAATTAAGTCAAGTATACTTGAGCCTCGGGTGGGAAAATCAACAACCTGAGTCCACATCCCGACATCCACAGCCTCAAGAAAGTCATCGAACCTTCTGAGGCCTTAAGGCGGAGACCAGCGGATTTCAGGGCGACTGAGACCCCCGCGCCTTTATAGTCAGCCAAATTGCCTCTTTGTCGTTAGAAATCTTGTCGGTCCTCTCACACACTGCTAAGTTGCTCTTGACATACATGGCAATTCCTCCACCCCGGCGGTCTCTCCTGTCTCTCCTAAACAAATGGTATCCTATTAATGCTACGTCTCAATCGCCAACGTCCTCTGACAGCCACGTTTCTGTTATTGCTATAACATCGGGAAGAGTATCGGCTACCTGTATTCTCAGTTCGTCAAGCTTGGAAAACAGACTCTGAGCATTGGTGCCAAAGAATTTAAGTTTGTAACATTCGACAGTACTTCGTCTGGTTTGTCTCGGGCCTGCCAATATTATGTTGCTGCCGCCATCATGATGATTGGCTGGTTCCAAAGGAACATCGCATTCCTCTGTATCACACGTCTCCTGAAAACAGCCAAGTTGCTCTCTCCTGCTGCAAGTCTCCTCTTCAGCTCCGTCACTTATTCGCGGCGTTTCAGACGTTCCGCTGGTGAATAGTCCGGTTGAAAAAAAGTTCCCTGTAAGAGTTTCGGAGGCTGCTTTTCCTGAACAGAAGTAAGCTAGCCTCTTTTTTGCTGCCCAAAACAATTTTCAGAGGTTGTGGCCGCACCGTTTCCGATTGTTCGCTCAATTTCTTTCCGATCCTGAAGGCTGCGCGAATGGTTATCTTTTCATTTGAATTAAGCATCTTGTTCAGTAGGTGTTGAAGCATGTCGATGTTAGCGGAAATCCTCTCCTTTGGGGTAGGAGCATTCGACACCGATAGGCCCTGGACGACCACGCAGTGCTGACGATCAAGGGGTTTATTTGTTCTTTTTCCGGCGGCCTTGTCAGATGAAGGTCTCTGGAGATCCACAGGAGTCATCTGGGATTTTATACTCCTGTCGCGGTGCTTACCCATTCCACCTTGCCACGAGCTTGTTTCATCACTTTCAGCCGAGGGTTCTACTAAACACTCGGAATGACTAGGGGAAGTTGATGGTCCTCTTCCGTTGTCTTCCATAGAAACAAGAGACTCAGTTGCTATTTCCCCACCGTCATGGGTATCGGCGTCCTTGCACTGAGGTTTTCCACAAACTTTGTTATTTGGTTGTTTTGAGTTTTGCTGTTTGACTTTGTCTTGTTAACTCTGGTGCTATTAACCGCGTTTTGCTCATCAACTTTCGCTTGTAGGAGTTCCCTTAAAGCAGCCAGCACTTTTTCGAGTTTTTGGATTTTCAGCAGAATATAGGCACACCCAGTGCACGGCTTGTCCTCGTAACTAACAGATTTTGCTGTGATTACGCTTTTAGCGCGCTTTTCCGGCCCCTGGTTGCAACTATAAAGAGAGCGAGCGCTAATCCTGAATGTCAAGGCCATTTCAATAGACTTTTCTTCATGCATAATCCCGGTCCTGGTCGTGGAACTATCAAAAAGTTGCTCTTTGTCCATTAAATTTGTGTGTTCGTAAGCATATATTCGTTTTCGATATTCAAACTGGTAATTACGACTGTATACGTTGGAGTATGGCAATTACATCTGCCAAAGCATTTAAGACGGGAGATCGGAAAAAAAAGGCACAGCAAGGCGCCAACACCCAACCACAATGGAACAAAGACGCAGATCTTGGGCTCAGCCATGTGGCGCTATCAGATATTAATATAAGTTTTGTTACGACATTCAAAAATGATCAACCACTAGCAGAAATTGTCCACCAAACGACGTATACGAACCAGAAAACTTTATAAAGTATACCAGCGCAACAAAAATATCATAATGATGTAAGCCAGAGAAATAAGAGTCCTCCAACCACTAATCAGAACCGAGTAGGCTTTTTAGCTGCATTTCGACTCCCCAAAATCCATATTCAAGGCATGGACATAAGAAGAAGCACTCCGACACTCCAACCATCTTAGCACTCAGTGAAAACCCAAACACTTACCCAAGTCTACAAATTTTCCCAACCGAAGCGCCATCTAGATACAATCATCACCTACTTAATACACATCCCCAACTGAGACTCAACCCATACAATAGACACATACACTCAAATTCCTCCATACACATCGCCATCCTTTCCAACAACCCCACGATTCCCTCCCTATAGCTCATCGCACTCAAAACGCTTTAGGCAAACATTTTTCCATGACGACTTGCTCCTTCTAAATCCAACATCCTACATTTCGCTCTAAATAATGCGGGCTTGATAGAACACAAGATGCCTGATACAACTTATGTGTTCTGATACCGAAACTACTTGTCCTTATCGAGAGCTTCTTCTCCAACATTGGAACATCACCAACCGCCTGTTTTGCAGTCCGGAGGTCCAAGAAGTTGAGGTGTCAGATGTCTACCGCTTCGTATGATATATTCAAGACCTCTGTCACTACTCCTCTTGATCTATTCGGACCCATCTGTACGACCTTCGGCCTTCGAAATGCCGTCTATACGTTCCAGAGGTTCATCAACCATGTTCTACGTGTCCTTCCGTTTGTGTGTGTCTAAAATCATGATTCTTGATAGGCAGCCGGAAAGCTGAGGATAAAAAAGAGCACCTCGCTTTGATGTTTGATCGCTTTGATAAGCATAGCGCCATTAGCGACCCATCCAGGTGGTTTTTAGCGTACCTTCCCTTGAATTCCTTGGCCGCCACGCTGACTCGGAATGTTTGCGTCCTGTACCCTCACATTTTTAAGCGATTCGTGATTCCCCTCCATCAACCTCCAAGTGTCAATTGCCACGTTTGTTTGGTATAGTCGACTTGATCCTTTATGGTACCGTAGATTACAAAAGGCACTATTTTTGCTATTTAAACTCTTATATAATCACACATTTAACCCACTCACCTCTTAAAGACATCATATCCACCCACGACGTAACAGTCACCGTGAGATCTTCTTATTTCTGCCTCTGGCACGTGCTGTTAAATATCGTCGGTTCTATTCTGTAAATGCAATTGCTATTTGGAATAAACTACCCATGAGTGTGAAAACTCTGCAAAATTATCCTTTATTTAAGAGAACTATTACTCGATTTTTGCATTCAGAAAAGCTCCCACAAATTTTGGGTGCTGAATCCACTGATCGACTTTACCGTAGCGATGGCGTTTGTGGTCTCTGAACACTATGGCCGGTCTCACCAGGGACAATTTCATTGGCCAACAGCGACAGCTGTCCCTTTACGCCTCTACTTTGACTATCCCCAACTTCATGAAAGGAATTGACGTCAGATAATCTCCGATACCGTGCAACCCCCCTCCCCTTTCTTGACGGTCGAAAGTCTGCCGCCCGCAGTTTTTCCTCCTGAACCCTCCAAACCATAAAAACCACTATCAGCTATATTTTATTCCTTTAGCACAGGAGTTTTTTCACTGCTGGTCGGATTTGTGTTTAACGCTTCCTTGACAATGCCTGTAAACTGGCATTAAATAAAAATTTATTATTATTATTATTATTATTATTATTATTTTACCGCTGGCTACCACCGAACTGTGCTAACCTCATGCTGTCGCTCACCATATTTTCTGGTCACATTAAGTCCATTCAAGATTATTAGTGATGGTCTGACTGCCTGGGGGAAGCAAACCTTCCCCCAGGCAATATCTTGCTAGCGCATCCTGCTTCCAAACCTCCTGTCTTGGTGGTTGGCGCTTTGACCGTAGCCGTGGACTCCGTTCTTCAATAACGACTTGCTGGCTCCAACCGACCAAGAAACTCTCGTTGGCTGAAATGTGCTAACTGGCTGCTAACTACTGGTCATCTACCTGTCAATGAAGCCTTTCCGAAATACCTTGAAGGTCATGACTTCGTTGCTTTCACGATCATAAGCCGCTGACTTTTGCCCTTCAATCCTACTCTGAAGAGTGCAATCTGTGAAAGACTGTCAGCCTAGATTGCGTCTCTCTATTACGCACTGACATCCGCCACGTTGACAGCACGAAGAATGAGGTGACGCGTGTTCAGACCTTCCTTCTCCGCACTTCTGATTTCACAAGGGATCGGCCATACTGCAATGGCGACTGAGCAACGGCGAGCCGATTGTCCTGGCAACGAGTCCGTTAGTGGTCTCCAGCTTGTAGACCTTCCTCTGGCCACTGGTACTGGCGTCTCGACTTCCTCTTATCGTCCCTCCGTGCCTGACTCCACGCATCGAGTTGTGCTTCAACCTCTTCATAGACTCTTCCACCCTGGGATCCGAGCCCCACAAAAACTCCTCGCGGAAAGGCTGGTTCAGTCTGGCATGAACAAGAAGGTCGTGCTGGAGTTTCCACCGGAACAAGGTACGGTGCCACAACAAGCCTCCGCAGGCGCTTTCACCAGCCACTTTCATCTGGATATGGTAGGCTTCTTGCCCCATTCAATGGCTAAAATCATCACCTCAGTCGCGCTGATCGGTACACCCGTTGAGCTGAAGCTCCCTTTGTGCCGAATTTGGAGTCGGACACCGACGAGGCTTTTTTCAGTCGCTGGATCGTTATTTTCGGTGGCTGACCAACGATTACGATCACTCGAGGTGTCCAGCTCGAGTCCTTTTTCTTCTCAGCCCTCCTAGTCGCACTAGTATTCGGACACAGCAGCTAGCAACACGGCGAAGCCTTTCTACCACGAAGTAAATACAGTCCTGCGTATCGCAGAATCCACAAAACTGGTCTGACAACTTACCCCTTGCACTTCGGGGTATTTGAGCGTCCCTGGACTTGGGATCTGGACTGCAACGCAGCCGAATTGATTTTTGGTACCACACTCTGAGTACCAAACGTGATGGCCACCCCGACTTCCCGCGGTACCGATCTCATCCTTCTCCTCTATCTTTACGACCGCAGCAAGCGCTCAGCCCTCTCCTGTCTCTTACGTCTGTATCACACGCACTGGACGTTGTGTCCACTTTCCTGACCGTTTGGTTACTCATGCATTTAGGCACTAACACTTCTTTCGGTTTCGCTACACGCAGTCTTTGATGTAACCGGTAGCTACCCGTTTTCCCGGTCGTCAGCGCTGCCACTTACCCATACCGTCTCCGGTCCGCTTACGCGCCTGACTAAAACTCCGCTTGCGGTGCCGTGACATCGATTGATAGTTATCCCTTCATCGACTGTAGGTAGCCGAACGCTGTTCGGACGCAGGCACATATGGACCCGTCACGAGTGAACGAGACAGGGGGGGGGGAAATTCCGATTCGTTTTCGTTTCCACTTTTCGTTCTGTTTACTATCGATGGTGTCTGTACTGGAGGTCCGGCCTGCCAACGCGCATAACCAACCAGAGGACCCGTCCGACAGTCAGAAACCTTCCCAACCTTAACGTTTAACCTGTTAATCCCGTCTTCCGCGTCGTTTTTGGTTCCCTATCTTTATTACATCAATAAACTAACATGCCTCGGCTCCTCTTATTGACTGGTTGTGTGCCGTTGTCATGAGTGTTCAGACGCAAGGAAAATGCACTATTTAATAGCAGGCTATAACCACTGAGAGTCGAGTTTGCTGCGATCCAGACTTCAAGGGCCGCTCCATCCCAGACGGGTCCGAACAACAGAATGTAGCCAGAGAGAAGGTGGACGCTATGCATAGGTTGACACTTACCTGGTGAGAATACCCGCTGCTACTGCCGGCTGGGCCGTGTGTATGCTACATCGCCCAAAAGGTGCTATGAAAAAATTATTCTATTCTATTCCATCTTACTCTCCTGGCTGTCTTTTGACTTGGAGACCTTCGTGTTGTCGATCATCCAACCTCGACAAGGTTGCGTGGGTCAGTCTACTCCTGAGTGGCGGACGTACAGAGGTTTAGGCGCTACGATGGACAGCAGGGGATGGTCTGCGTGTGTGTGCGGGGTCTTGAAACTAATACCTAATAGGAGTATGAGTAACAGTGCGAGTCACCAAAAATTGTCACATGAGCTGGCACCCATGTGGGTCTATAAGTAATTATGTCCGGAAACCCAGTGTCTTCAGAGAAACTTCTGACGTCCTGCTATAGACTGAGGACCGTCGTGTTTGAGTGTTCTGAGTGTTAAAATGATTTATAGCGTGACACTTGCACGAATCGCATGCATGTAAGCGTAGATTTTGCAAAGCGTCCATTAGTTAACGCCCACATTGTCGCGAAAGGACGCACACGCATGCCAAGAGCCGACCATGCATCGACGGATATGATCACCACCGAGTGATTGTACAAAATCCACGCACTCTGCTGGTATTTTTCCTCCTCTTCAAAAACGGGACTGGACCCTGGTTATTGTTGTGGTCAAGTGACACCCTCGAATTAGCTACATGTCCGTTGATGTGATTTCGAGGTAATGTACATAATGGAGAATTCTGGATTTCCACAAAATACGTAAATCGAAATATGGTACCACCTAGATATATCGCTGTCATACGGGAAGATTCACCTGAAACAGCAGACCAAGACAGTTCTACATACGCAACACGAATGGGAAAAACTTACTTTGATAGCACTGAAATGGGAGAAGAGGCCAATAGGCGAAATGGAAAGAATGCTAGTTAAAAATCGTAATCACTAAAGACAACTGAACCAAAAAAGGTGGCCCACACGCAAATAAAGGACGGTTCTGTGCCAAAGAGGATGGCAATGGTGAAAGTAACCGGTTGGTGCCGAAAACCCTGAGCAGCAGTCCCAATAAAAGGACCGGAGAATTACATAGAAAGTACTTGAGTACCGGTCCGAAGTGCCTTTGGAACAGTTTTGGAACGTCACTTCTGTCTGAAGTCGATTTCATCAGAACATTCAAGAAGCTTTCGCATGTCCAAGAGGCTGGTGGCGAAAGAACTAAGAAGATCCCTTGCAGAGTTGTCCGGAGCTGTTGATTTGAAGGTACTAGCCATTATGTTCATGTGGTCACCTTGCAGGTTGTAGCAGAATCCATAACCATCGGGAGCGACGGGCCCAAAGCTGACGCCGAAATCTTGTTGACCGCTTATCTACATAAAAATTTACTCAAATAGTTTTATCTGAATAATTTTAGGTACAAGATAGAGGAACGCACTTTCTACCTGGCTAGTGGAGAGGAGGAAGTGGTTTGCAGTTTCATATGTTGGGTCGGAGAAAAAATCCGGCGTAGGAAGGCCCGCATCAGCTGCAATGAGGCGAAGACCCAGAAGATGACGGTCAAAACCGTTACCGCTAACCGCCACCTTAGTGTAAAGTTGGTGCCGTTCAATCGCTTGACGAAGTATGGCGCATTTTCGAGAGTCGCTGACAGTCTAAATAAAATGGAGTTTTTTGAATTAGGTATTGTAATGACTATGGCTCCAAGAACGAACAAAAGAGCCACCCCTGTGATGACCCAGTGCGTCTAAAAACAAACGTTTACAGAGTTTAACCGAGTGCCCATTTGCGAAAAATTCGGAGGGCTCGATGGCATGTGAATTGCTAACAGAAAACCTAAGGTTTAAATACGACGAACACTACGACCGGAGCTAATAGGTCCCAAACATGAGCCTCGAGTTCTTCACATTTTGGCTTAATTATCCAGACCGTTCACACAACTTCCCATACTGCTGTTGGCAAGCAGGAGGAACTTACTTGTACGGGGATCAAATAAAAATAATCCTAAGTTGTGGTGATAACAGAGCTAAACAGAGGAAGGAAGGTGGTATTGAGACATTTCCCCGTCCGGCAACATATTATAACACACTTCACCCCATTAGAAGATCTTACGCTGTTTTTCATCGCCTTGATGAAGGCTACTGACTGTGCACTGCATGACCGAATGGTCTCCGTGCGACCAAGACGAAAACGCCGAAGAGACCCGCTCTCATAAGTAGCCGGGGGCGGACGGGTCGGGTGGAGGCGGGCGTAGGCCAGTTGCAATCCAATCTAAAAATAGCAAGCTTTCAGTTTCAATTGCAGTTTATTAAGGGAAATATAGGCGGGCGCCTTTGAACTCTCTATTGGTTACAAGTTGTCGGGGAAAACATTGATAAGAGAGAAGTTGAAAAAGTGATTTTGTACATAATTGCGGACAGATGACAGCTAGTCGAAGAAGAGTAATCATTAACGGTTACTTGCTAATTACAAGTAGTATAAACACCTGCACGTTGGTGCCGGGTTGTGTGAGAGTATGTGAGGCTGGTAATTGGGAAGCTTGATACGCGTCAAGTCTACACTCGAAGTAATTCAAACAGGAGAAGATAACAACGTCAGAAGGCAGGACATTCCACGCTTCAACCACTCTGCTACTGAAAAAGAACATTCGTCTATTGATTCTTGATGTCCCTGCGCGTAGTTTTAGGGGATGACCGCGCCATGTGGACGTGTTAACTTGAGTGAAATAATCAGTGGGATCTCAATAACAGTCTAGGCCGTTGATAATGCAAGATTTTAGTACGAGGTCACCACGTAATTGCCCGTAGGAAATGGGAAACAAGTTGAGAGTTGACAGTCTGGTATCATAGGGTAGTGCTCCCAGACCTTGTGTCAGTTTGGTCGTCCGTCTGTCGACTGTCTCTAAGACGGTATAATCCTTGGCAGTCCAATGTCCCCACGCCTATATGATGTACTCTAGATGAGGTCGCACGAAGGTGGCAAATATTTTGGAAAAGCAGTCAGAGCCAAATCCCATAAATGCTCGCCTAATGAATTGCAGTGTGGCCGTAGCCGATTTAGCCGCCTTCGCGCAGTGCAGTGTTGGTTTGAGTGAAGACGTAATCCATACACCCAAGTCCTTTTGACTGTCAACATGTTGCAGTGGTGTGCCGTGTAGGAAGTAAGTCCTGGGGCTGGAGGCTCTGAAGCTGCCGAGCCTCCAGCCCCAGGACTTACTTTCTACACGGTACACCACTGCAACAGGTTGACAGTCAGAAGGACTTGGGTAGAGACATAGGTTTTCTTATCTGTCCCTCGGGGAGAGTGAATAGACATTAAATGAACCCTTTGGAAGAGACATTTTAATGGGAGGGGGCCACGAGTGAAAGAAGTGGAAAGACAACTCAGTTACAAAATCGAATCGGTCGTGCGGCGACGACTTGCCTGGACGAAAGCATCGGGGCTGAGACGAACCGACTTAATCCAAGATCTGGAAAAGGCCGTAAACTTGGCACAGACGACATCAGTATCCAGCGCAAGACTGTAATGAAGTAGGAAATTTGCAAACAGTTTTGTTAGAGGCTTTGTAACAAAAGTTGAATGTGTTGCATTCCGAAAGGTAAGCAGGCGCTCTGTAAAGCGCTTGCAGAATTAGTGCGCTGAGGCCTTTGTCAAGGATAAGGTGGAAAGTAGTGACGAAAACTTCAGGTCAAAAGGGAAGGCGAAGTGAAAAATGAGAACACGTACATGAATTTAAAGGGTGCATTTTCGGCCGTTTTAATTAGATTTATCTTTTAAAATTGCTGCCGTTCCGGTGACTACATTCCGGAACTGCCAATGGTACAATGTTAGGACAAGCCCATAAAATCGGCATTTCTGTGACAAACTCAAGTACCTACATATATGTGATAGTGAAGTTTAAATGCAGAAGCTGCCATCAAAACCACATGTTGAGAAGTAGCCCGTGCAGCGGTCGCGGCAGATCGTTGGAATCGGTCGCATAGAAGTGG